AGTCACGAAATCTTGGAACAATCTGCCAGAAAATGTTGTGATGGCACAGAGTGTGAGTTCTTTCAAGACCAGACTTGACCAACACTGGAGCAGGTTGAGGTACATTCAGGAGCCGGTGCATGCCCAGTACCTGCCAACAGTGCATAACAGAGAGCCAGTACTGTACATAACTAGTACTTGGCAACAGTGCGTGACAGTGATGTGACCGATCGCCCAAGCGGCTAACGAGCCGATCATTGGTGAAGAGGATAAAAAAAAAGGTCTGTATCCTAACCTAATGCAAGGAGAGACAACATTATGTCCACGTCGACGATATTTGTGCAGATAAGGAAGAAAGTGATCATAATGTTGGATGGATATACTCTAAGCCCGTTCACTATCCCTGCGATGGATTTTAGGGAGAAGAGCGGGGCTGAACATATTCTCTTTCGGTAGGTCATGCTGGTGCATATATTTAGGCCTAAAAGATCCTAATTGGACAGCCATATTTTTTAAAATCAGTTACTGATTAATCTCAATAGAAAGATTTGCAAATAAACATGTGTAATGTAATGCAATGTGTCATTTATATTTATCTTTATTTAACTTTTCCTCTTTATTTACTGTGGATTTTTTTTAATATTTGAGACAATTTTGCTGTCAGTTTTTACTTTCAGTACTTGAGTACTTTATGAGAGATACTCTTTACTTCTACGGTACTTGAGTACATTGAACTTTGGATACTTTTACTTGATGTAACAATACTTTTTACTTAAGTAACAAAGTCTGATACTTTTTACAATTCTGTTGGGAAGGTCAAGGCATCCAAGAGAACTGTCTCTCTGGGGTGAAGCTTGACATTGTTAAGCAGCAAGAGACTCCCAGAGGCTGTGCGGGAGTCAGCATGGCATCTCCACTCCACCTACAAGACCCCCTTAGTCTCGAAGGGGACATGTGATGATGACCAGGCTTATTCTTCACGAGGTGGTGAGTGTTGTTTAATTGTCTTGTAGTACTGTAGGAATTTTGTCGGTGACATGTGCGTTTGGGGACTGGCTGGGAACATATCCCATTGAACCCCATGTTATAATGTTCTCTATCTAATATAATTCACCAAGCAATGGGTTTTCAGGAACCTAGCTCCACCGTATCTCGAGGTTTACCTGTACAAAGAGCCATGCAGGTACTGTATACGAAAATTTTACCAGTACAGTACCTCAACAGTGTGGGTATATAAGCAATGGTTAACAGTAAGCTAATACTGTATGTGTATTATTTTAGTTTCGGTCATCCGGGGAATATTAGGAATTTAACCCCACCAGAAAGAGGGGGGGGGGGGTCTGGTTTGGTTAGATATAGTTCCTGGGTTCTGTGGCTCTTAGATTAGGTTGGATATCTAAATGCAGGGATGAACAAAACTCAAATTTACCCCAATATGACCTCAGGCAACTAACAAAGTTATCACATGCTTATTTCCTGAACCTCTGATGAATACAATAATGAGAAGGTAAGGTCAAGCAAAGTTACTGCCATTACCGTACTGTATACAACTCTTTACCAATATTTAAAAAAAAATGATGGGTGCAGTAAGTGCTATCTGGAGAAATTGGATCACCTGAAAAATCTCCATCCCAGCTTATTTCACCTAAATATTAAGGTTAATATTTGTTTAATGGCTGAAGCAAAATTTTCATATCTGGTTATTCTAGGATTATAAAAAATAAAGAAATAAATAGGTTTCAACAGTGATTTTGAAGTTGAAATTGTTATGAGAATAGGCTTTTTTTGGTGTACTGTACAGTATTTAGGTGTGTTTTATTCAAATCTGACCTTCATTTCTTGTGCAAATGAGTGAATTTTGTAAAAAAATAAAATAAAAAATAAATAAATAAAAATAAATTAAAAAATTTGCTCATATGCCCCAAAAATGAAGGTCAGATTTGAGTAAAACACCTAAAAAAAAAAAACATTATCATAACAAAAAAGAGCCTTGGCCATTAAATGAATATTTACCAAGGTTATCTACCCTAATACTATTTGGGGGGAATGAGGTTAGATTAGTGCTAAGGTGGTTAATCTTTAGGTAAATTAAGCGGTAAAATTATTGTTTCGTTCATGCACCTTTTTGAAAATAGGTCAGAATCGTTCAAAACACATAAAAAACCAATGGAAAACACAATTTCAACCTAACATAACCTATCCTAACCTAAACCTTTCTCGGAGGGTGGTAACTTAAAATTCACTGGATGATCGAAATGATAAGGTAAATAAATATTTAGTAGTTGCCAACACCTAACTGACTTTTGAAAATGAGTTTTTAAAGTGTAAATCATCATGTTAAATATAAATATTACTTTCATCGTCATTGGAAATTTGCTGTTGATAAAAATAAAATGTGAAAGGGCAAAATAATGCAAAAACCTGAAAAAACCTAACCTAACCCCTAGTGTGTAAGAAACTTACCTTAAGTAAGAAATACAGGAGGATAGAGAGATGCACACAGAAAATCTACTCTAACTGGATCATTTTCTCTTCGTCAGTGCCTGTTTCTTCCCACAGTACCATGCATGGTGATCTACACGTTACTGACACTGAATTACATCTCAGACACTTTACAGATGATACAACAACACCGCGGGCCCTAAAAATGTCAGCTGCTGCTTCATTGTCTAAAACCTGCTGAATAATGCGCCAGGCAGCCAATGTACAACCTTTGCACACAGATGCCATCTTCCAACTGCCCGAGAATCGAGACTTGCGCTGATTGGCACAAGAGTATTACGTCACATCGGCACTCACAATGATTGATGAGGACGACTATGATGTCACATCAACATTCACACTGATTGGCTGAATATTATAAAATAAAAGTTAAAATAACTTGAAAACTATAAATTTCTGACAGGAACATTATAGAATAAATTATTTTTAATTTTATTCTCTCTCCCTATACAATATATGACTCAATATTCAGTTAGGTGTTGGCAACTACTAAATATTAACCGAATTCTCTGCTTTAGTATGGTAATAACAGTTACTGTATATGCTTTCGGGACAATTAATGATCTAACGCTTAAAATTGTGGTGTGTAATTACTAAGGGGTGCTACTATAGCATGCAGTCTACAAAGACATAAGAACATAAGAAAATAAGGAGTCTGCAATAGGCCGGTTGGTCTGTGCATGGCAGCTCCTGTCGAGAGTTACTATCACTCTATCATCCATGAATCTATCCAGCCTCCTTTTGAAACTTTCCAGCGTTCCAGCACTTACTACAAAGTTGCTAAGCTTGTTCCACTCGTCCACCACCCTTTAGTCTAGTCTAATCTAACTTTACCTAACCTAATCTTGATGGCCTGATCTGACATAACCTAACCTAAATATCTTGTAGACTACATGCTATAGTAGCACCTACATACTTAGGAATGGTGGCTTAACATTAGGAGGATGATAGGTTAACCCTTGTCAATGATACACTAGCTAATACCATTAAGATACTTTAGAATGATGACATGATGACAAATTTTTTATCCCTTTAATAACACCGAAACAGTGGGAAACATTTTGAGTGGTTCATTATAGCCAAAAGCAATTATAGAAACCATATCAACATATATTTTGAGATAATTAAATACGCATACACACTAAAAACAAAACTACCTACATAAATAAAAATAAAGTAAAAAGTAAAAATAAAGTATATACTGTAGTAACTTTCATCACAACTATTTCCTAGATTTGTTTTTCCTCTTTAAACTATTAACCTCCACCTTCCCTTTGATAATAAATAAAGTATTTCGTCCTCATTGAGTAACTTGACTGACAGTGCACTGATTTTGTTGTCCAGAATTAATTAAAGAGGTATGGGAGGAGGTGCCACAAGGGGCGGTCCGACTAATTACCCAAATGTAGCCGCAATGAAGTCAAATAATGGTCCTACATGAATAAATCGGACTGCTAATCACTTCTCGACTAGTATTTGGTGTCAGAAAGTCACAAAAAATTGGAAAACTTACTTTAATCTGAGTTAATAGATCACGTGCATGTACCGAGGGAGCGAGTAATTACCCAAATGTAGCAAAATGTAGCCGCAATGAAGTCAAATAATGGTCCTACATGAATAAATCGGACTACTAATCACTTCTCGACTAGTATTTGGTGTCACAAAGTCACAAAAAATTGGAAAACTTACTTTAATCCGAGTTAATAGAACGCGTGCATGTACCGAGGGAGCGAGTAATTACCCAAATGTAGCCGCAATGAAGTCAAATGATGGTCGTACAAGCGTAAATCGGGCTGTGAATCACTTCTCGATTATTATTTGGTGTCATAAAGTCACAAAAAATTGGTAAACTTAATTTAATCTGTGTTGTGTTAGGTACATGCACTTGATCTATTAACTCAGATTAAATTAAGTTTACCAATTTTTTGTGACTTCGTGACACCAAATACCAGTCGAGAAGTGATTGGCAGTCCGATTTATTCATGTAGGACCATTATTTGACTTCATTGCGGGTACATTTGGGTAATTACTCGCTCCCTCGGTACATGCACGCGATCTATTAACTCAAATTAAATTACGTTTTCCATTTTTTTTTTTACTTTGTGACACCAAATACTAGTCGAGAAATGATTAGTAACCCGATTTATTCATGTAGAACCATTATTTGACTTCATTGCGGGTACATTTGGGTAATTAGTCAGACCCCACAAGGGGGATTCTTCCAAGACCTGTTGAATATAATGTAATAAGACAGCCAACCAAACCCGTCCTAACCAATTCACAAACTATCTTAATAAGATTGTTAGGTTAGGTTTAGTTCGTCTGCTGTATGATAAATAATGATATTAGTGTTTTAGCAAATAGCAATTTACTTGGGTGGTGGGTTCCCAACATTTGTGGGCGCCATGCACAGGTTGCTGCCGGCGACTACCACAACTTCCTTTATTTACCATAACACTCAAGTTAACCACGTGAATTACTATTAGTTTGTATTACGTGGGTTACTTACAAATACTTACCAAGTTATCGTAGCGAATCTGGCTTCTATAATTCTACGGGGAGCGACAGACACCCACACTCAACTAACTCAAGCAATGCAGCTGCCACTGAGTTAACTGACAATGTGTGTGTCAACGTGACTGGTAGGAAGTTGGAACTGTTTTATCTCTTTTTTCTCTATGTGATTCATTGAACAATACATTCTGGTCATTGTTTCTTATTTTTATAATTTCCACGCAAATGTTTGTGAATAAAGTAAGTTATCTCGACTGTGTTCTATCTTACTTCATGGTGAGTATTATACTTTAAAGTTTATGCTAAGTCATGCTTTCGAAACCCAGAATGTTGGAACTTTGTGTTACTTTCACTTTTATCTTCTTCACCACTGATCGGCTCTTTAGCCGCTAGGGCGATCGGTCACGTTTCTGTTGGCAAGAAGGAACGGGGACGGTGTACATGGGTTCTATTCAGGGGGAGGGTAGTGGAAGCAACTATGCCGACACATAGCCAGGGGACAGTGTAGGGTTTATGATTTATTGGTTCACACTCAGGATGGGATGGAGAAAGGAAACTCACAATGTGCTCACTGTATACATATTGTATTGGATGTACAATGCAGCTTGTTGTTGGGTAGGTAGCATGGTAATAAGCGTTGAGTAGAGAGAGCTGGGTGGTGAGGGTGCCCAGTGAGGGCACGCGGCTTGAGGGACGCCAAGGTCGCTGGCGGGAGCGGCTGGCGCTGAGAGGTGTTGCTTGCTGGTGGCCGGGGGTCACCATTTGTAGGGGTATGAGATATTGTTTCACACTCAGGATGGGATGGAGAAAGGAAACTCACAATGTGCTCACTGTATACATATTGTATTGGATGTACAATGCAGCTTGTTGCTGGGTAGGTAGCATGGTAATAAGCGTTGAGTAGAGAGAGCTGGGTGGTGAGGGTGCCCAGAGGAGGGACACGCGGCTTGAGGGACGCCAAGGTCGCTGGCGGGAACGGCAGCTGCCAGGCTGGCGCGGAGGAGGTGTTGCTTGCTGGTGGCACTGTGTAGAAAGAGAGGCTGGTCACAGCGGTGTCAGGCCTTATAAGGCGGGGGTAGGCGTGGGTAGATAGTTGACCCCCGCTCCGTGGGCGGCGCTTGAGGCGTAGGCTGGGGAATTCGAGAAGGTTCGGTGCTTGTAGGGGAGGAATGCACTACAACAGCAATGCACCCCCACCCGCTCTACCCCCCACCAGGGACTCCCGGGAGGTAACACCAGTGCGAGCGCCGTGTAAATAATGACATTCCTAGCCACACCATGCAAAATACAGTGTGTCATGGTCACACTGGCACGGCTGGTCTGTTTGAAACCTGATGATTCATATTATGCTCTACGCCCTCAAAACATGTGGATAACTGGTGAGTTATCCTTAGGAAAAAATCCGTTTTCTCTAGCTTAGGTGCCGTCCATTTTCTTTGACTTCCTGAAACCAACGTCTCTATAAAGTAAATTTGAATGTGAGAGAGAACACCATTGTTTTGGGTAAACTTAAATATGTCTGATTACAATTAAAGCATTCAAGATCCTTTGTGAGTGATGTTGAAAGCTTCAACAGTCTTTATTGTTAGGAACACTTGTCAAGTAAGTGTGTGTCGAGTCTGCCAGTACGAATGGCATTCCGTGATTATTTTGATGCCCAAACATCAGAGAATCTGATGTTTGTAGTTTAGTTATTGTCAGTTGTTTATTTAAGAAAGTCATTAATCTCCTGAAAAGAATATGTCACACTCTTGTCTCCAAGATCTCAACGTATACCCATAGAGGATCCTTGTCTAGAAATCCCTCTGATGTGAGAATGACATTGATGTTGTGAGAATGACGTTAACAGTGTGTGTATTTGAGGCCCATTTCACTTTTTCCTGGCAAGTTCAATCGCTGATTAGATTATAAAAATAGACATAAGAAATAAACCTGACCTATGACATTGATTTTTATAGTTGAATGTACAGCGACTGAGTTGAATCGAATTTCTGTCGTTTGTGAGATTAGCCCTTCTGGCATGCCTGTGCAGGCCTGAATTGCCAGATATAAAGGAATGCACGAGGAAGATTTGCACGCTCGTGACTCTTTCTCAGCGCTTCTCCAGGTATGTGAACTATTGTTTCCCGGCTCTATGTAAAGTCAGTTTTAACATAGGGAGGGTAGTGGAAACAAGTGTGCCGACACAGGGCCAGGGGGCAGTAGTGCACCCTCCACCCACTCAACCCCCCACCCGGGAGGCGGCACCAGTTCAGCCTACCGGACAGGTGGAGGCGAGCGCCGTGTAAACAATAACTTTTCTAACCACACCCTGCAAAATACAGTGTACCTAGCAAATGCTGCAGCTTCTGAGAATGTGGGGGGAGCGGGTTTATGACTAAGAGCAGAGAAGTTACCGAGAACAAATTCTGGCTTGAATGTCATGTACACTAATACTGACACGTTCCTTGATAAGAGAGGAGTTTGAAACACTACTAAGAGTACACCAACCAGATATTGTAGGAGTTGTAGAACTGTTGTACAAGAACAGGAGAATCGACCCAGAGGAATGTGAGTTCAGTATTGCTGGATATGACTCATTTACGAACCTATCTCAAGAAACTTGCAAAAGGGGTGTAGTTATCTACGCTAGGCAAGACCTTAGAGCCAGCCAGGCGAGGGTACAGGGAGAGGATGTTTATGAAGAGTCCAAGTGGTGTAAAATTAAATTAAAGGGAGGGGACTTACTTATCGTCGGGTGTATCTACAGATCCCCAAACTGTGGCCCACTAAATCAAAGGAACTTAAGAACCTTAATAAGCAAAGCGGCGATGCTCAACCCTAGCCACCTCCTTATCATGGGGGACTTTAACTATGGCGACATCGACTGGAGAAACGAGTCAACCCCTAATGACTTGAATAACCCTGCTACTCTTTTCGTAGAAACTCTGAGAGATAATTTTCTGTTCCAACATGTTAGAGGCCCGACACATTACAGAGGGGAGCAAACACCCAAGCCACTTGACCTCATCATAACAAACGAGGAGGGTATGGTGGCCACACTGGAACACCTTGCCCCAGTTGGCACCAGTCACCATACAGTGTTGTCATTCAGATTTAATTGTTACCTATTTCAAGATAAGGCCAGGCCAAGGTGCAAATATTACAAGGGAAATTACAATGGGATGAGGGAAGAGATGAGGGGTATCAACTGGCCTGACTTATTAAGGCACAAGAACGCAGACACTACGCTGAATATCATAACTAGTAAAATGACCCATTTGATCGATAAATATATACCCAAGACCAAACCCAGTGCCTCTAGGAATACGAGGGGATCACTACATATGAACCATGCGGCGGTCGACAAAATTAAGAAGAATACCCAGAAATTCAAGACGTGGGTTGGGTCAAACGATGAGCAGGACAGGAGGATGTATGCAAGAGCCAGAAACCAAGCAAAGATAGAATGTAGAAGGGCTGAAAAGGAGTTCCAGAGGCTGGTTGCAAGCGAGGTCAAGTCAAACCCAAAGGCGTTTTACCGCTATGCAAAGTCGAAATTGAAAACGCGAGTAGGAGTATCAGACCTGAGGCTGGTGAATGGTAGTTACGCAGATTCTGACCAGGATAAAGCTGAGGCATTGAACAGCTTCTTTTCCTCTGTGTTCACAAGAAAGGATGTAACTAACCTTCCTGCGTTTGAGGACAGACGTTTCGACACAGCACTCCCACATTGTGTTCACAGAAGAGGATATTAGAAATAAACTGTCCAGGCTAAAGGTCCATAAGAGTCCCGGCCCTGACATGGTGCATCCTAGAGCGCTAAGAGAGTTGTGCAACGAGCTTGCAGAGCCCCTGAAGATCCTGTTTTGTAAATGCCTGGATGAACAAATGGTCCCCAGTGAATGGAAAGTGGCTTATGCGAGTCCTATCTTCAAGAAGAGCGATCGTCACTCCACGAACAACTATAGACCGGTGAGCCTGACCAGCATAATATGTAAAGTACTTGAGAGTATTATCAGAGATGCCGCAATGGAACATCTAATACGAAACAACCTTGTAAAAGATTGCCAACACGGTTTTATGCCGGGGCGCTCCTGCTTAACACAATTGTTCAAGGTATTGGATATTTGGACCCATATTCTGGAACGGGGTGGTAATATCGACAATATTTACCTAGATTTTGCCAAGGCTTTCGACAGTGTACCCCACGAAAGGCTGAAAATCAAACTGGAAGGGTACGGAATTTGGGGAAATGTCCTAGCGTGGATAGAAGACTTTCTACATGACCGCAAGCAGTGTGTGGTGATTAATGGCACGAAATCATCATCTGTACCTGTCACAAGCGGGGTACCACAGGGCAGTGTATTGGGCCCGCTAACCTAACCTAACCTAACCTAACCTAACCAAACCACAAGTCTAGAAAACTGTGAGGGCAATTTTTTTTGGAGTGAGAATTGTGAACTCTTGGAACAATCTGCCGGAGAGAGTTGTGATGGCACCGAGTGTGAGCTCATTCAAGGCCAGAGTTGACCAACATTGGAGCAGGTTCCGATATATTCAGGGGCCAGTGCATGCCCAGTATCTGCCAACAGTGCGTATCGGAGACGTGACCTACCGCCCAAGCGGCTAACGAGCCGATGAGTGGCGAAGAGGATAAAAGTAACAAAGTGGCTGCCACGTCATGTGTACTGTACCTTTATCCTCTTCGCCACTGATCAGAGGTTCGTTAGCTGCTTGGGCGGTCGGTCACGTCTCTGTTACGCCTTATTGGCAAGTACTGGGTATGCACTGGCTCCTGAATGTATCTGAAACAGCTCCAGTGTAGGCCAAGCCAGGTCTTGAAAGAGCTCATCAGACCCTCTCACACACTTCACTGTCTCAGCATTGGCAAAACTCCCTGCAAGAATGATGGATTTACTCATTCTGAGACATGGCCTTGGTGATGACAGAATCACTTTGGCAGGTCCTTTCAATAAAAAAACGACGATTTGGGACACTACGTGAGCCAGTGTTACTTGATGAGTGGGTGTCATCTCACCAGCACCTCTATGTTGTCCTTCTGTCTGCTTGTAGTTCGTCTTATCATATCAGTCAAAAACGTCTGTGATTATCATCTCCAATTTGATCGTCTTCTAGGATGTGCAGGATATTTTT